TTAAGTCTTGTTGAGCTTTTAGCGATTCAATCTCGACTTTTTCTCTGGCGTCATGATTCAATCGCACGTCTTTAAAAGATAGAAATAACTGAAACCAGATTGCTCATGGTCGAGTCCCAGCGCTACACAGCGTCCCTGTTTAGTACAGAGTAACAGCGGATAGCTAACCCTAACCCTCGATCTTTAACAAGGAGTCCCATCGTCATCAGGTTGAGACCTGAGGTGAGTTCTTATATTGTTAAAATTCAAGTCGAAGCTTCTCACCCTGATGAACAAGCTGACCTTTATGGTTCAAAACAAAATGGTTCTCAGCTCTTCAGGGGTCGCTTGAGCAGGTGGCAGTGAGATAAGAGTTTAGTCGCTATGGTAACCACCTCGTAGTAGAGATTGGTGCGGTTGAAGGATGCGGTGATGGTGATTGGCTGTTGCACACACAGGATCTTCTCACAGTCTTTGAGGACGCTGCTGGTCGCCGTGGCGGTGAGGCCGAGCAGCGGGACTTTAGGGAACTGTCTCTTCAGGATGCCCAGCAGTTTATAATCTACACGCGCGCGCACACACACACACACACACACACACACACACACACACACACACACACACACACACACACACACACACACACACACACACACACACACACACACACACACACACACACACACACACACACACACACACACACACACCACACACACACACACACACACACACACACACACACACACACACACGCACACACACACACACACACACACACAGGACATGATTTAGAAGGTCTAAAACGAGCTGCATCTCCAAAGACAACCTTACGGTGACCTGTTGGTCTCACCCGGTCTGAAGTCGTGCCCCCACTGGCTGCAGCAGTGAACCTCGTCCACGGCGATGCGACTCAGCAGGTTTGCTTTGTAAGATTTCTCCAAACGGGACATGAGCAGCTTGCTTTTGGCGATCTTCTCCGGGGTCACGTACAACAGCTTAAAGGGGGACTTTGGGTCCGTCATTCCAGCCATGACTGTCTTAGCGTGCTCCTGCAAAAAAATTACATTTTTAATTTGTACAAGAAAACTTTACAAAGCTGGAATATGCCGCCGGTCTTTACCTTGCTGCTGTTCGCATTCAGAATGACTGCCGACACTTCGATGGACTTCAGGTACATGATCTGGTCCTCCATCAGGGACAGCAGGGGGGTGACGACCAGTGTAAAACCTGACACACAAACACAAAGACAACACGTTTGAGGATGAGCAGTGTAAGAGCAGCTGATTAAATTCACACTGTGCACGTGGGTCTGAGTTTACCCTCTGAGCAGACTGCAGGCAGCTGGTAGCAGAGGCTTTTCCCTCGTCCTGTGGGCATCACTAAGAACAGATCTTTGCCTGACAGGCTCAGGTTGATGGCCCTCAGCTGCAGCGGTCTGAACTTGGAGAGACCGAACGAGCCCTTCAGGTGCTTCTCTGCTTCTTTAGACCACGGGAAATCTACAAAACATAAAAGTAGTAACGCAAATCTACCCCCACGCCTGTTCATACTGACTGTACCTCCATGCGTGTAGAGTACCTGTCCCATCGTAGCACTTTAACTCCTGCTTGCTCATCACGGGCTGGGCCCCTGAGGACTTTGAGGAAGACGAGGAGGAGGATGAAGGCTGAGCAGCGTCGCAGGCGTCCTCCAGCTTCAGCAGCAGAGAGTTCTTCTGATCCGTCAGCTCCGCCTGTTTCTGCAGCAGCTCTGCGATCTGCAGCTCCACCAGCTCCAGCTCCGACTCCACCGAGTCCAGCTGAGCCTGAACATCTGAGCAGAGAACAAACGACTGTCAGCAACGATCCCTCAAAGCATCGAACGCCGACTTTATAGCAACTTTGTCAAAACAAGATATCGTTTAACCATCTCTCTTCATAACCAGCAGGTCATTTATTTCTAATCGTGTTCACACTGCTCGGGGAATTATTTCTACGGATGTATTTTAAGTCAGCTTCCTCAAAGACAGCGTGAAGCGTGCTTATTTATCTCAACTCATAACGATATCACACGTGGCATATTCAGTTCTACCCTAACTTTATTGTATCGCTTCAAAAATAGGAAATAAAAGAGTGCCACAAGAGGTTGTTAAGCGGGCTCTTTCAGGGGAGGAGACAGTCAGGTCTCACACCTGCACAGGTACTAATCCTCGGAGGATCACACCTCCTCAGCTAATGATCTCACTCCTTCTCTTTGTACCTCCCCCCTGAGGGTTTAGTAATGTGTCATTAGTCTCCATGAAACCTCCCTCCTTACATACAAAAACAACCGCAGCACAAACAGACTGTTTACAGCTCAGCACGGTCCGTCTTCCCCCGGAGTCGTTCTCGCCCTTTTTTTTTTTTTCCTCTTTCTTTCATGTAAATAAACGAATACAAAGATGTTTGTAAAGTAGCTTCTGCAAACATCACACCTCGGTGAAGGAGAAGTGTATTTATTCCGTGTTTTCCCCGCGATGATGCACATTTATTAACATGGCAGTGTTCACATTAAGACGCACCATTAGTTCTGCAAACACCGTCCATTTGTATCCGCCTGCTGACGTCACAGAGAAGCAAACCTGCGGACTGTCAGAGACGTAGAATCCTTTAAAAAAAAAAAGAAGAAGAGAGAAACATTTAGATGATTCAGTTTTGGAGAGGAAAGTATGATTCAGTCTATACAATAATAATAGCCTTAGTTTATATAGAGATGTTCTAGACATGGTTAAAGGGTGTCATGTTTATCTTTTGCTGCAAAAAAAAACGATTTGTCGCCGCTTCGTTCATGCCTCCGACTGATTAAGGCGCCATTTCATTTATGCATGCATCTTCCCAAGGCCTTACATCTTTGGAGTCTGTTTGTCATCTAATCTCAGGGCTCTAACTCATCATTGTGCTCTGTATGATCGAGTCGGCCTGCACTGACCACTCGTAGACAAAATCATTGACATGTCCTGATTAAACCTGCTTCCCTCAAACTTGCGCAATGTTATTCATGTAAAAATGTTGGAAACTTCAGTCTCCGCTCTGTGATCCAGTCACAACCGTTTCTGTGAGGGGTTGAAACGACAACGGTGACATCGGCAAATGATGCTGCATGAACTGATGTCTGTGGCCGATGTTGATCTGTTGTGCCAAATCAATTTAATGCTGACATCTAGCACACCCAGCTCCTGATTCAGAGAGGAGGTTTATTATCCGGCAGATGAAGTCACCTGTTGTACAAACAGAGAAAATGTTGCATCATGGGAGTCTGACTAAAATTTCATTTCAAACTCGGAATTTTCCCAACCGGTGCATCTCTAGTTTTTAATAAGAACAGTGTCTATGTTTACTGTTAATCAATAACTTTTTATTGCTAAATATTGGTCTTTATTACTTAATTTCTTTGCATTTTAATCTTTACCAACAGTTCAACCTCACCTTGTTATCGTTTTGTATTATATTTGCATGTGGACACCTGTTTATTTAATGAATTTGTTCACATTTGCTTGGACACACGTGTCTACATGTGTGTAAATGATGATTGCACTGTGTATAAAGTTTGTATTTCTTAAATGAACACACATATTATAATTTAGTAAAATGTATGAAATGCTTGTTTCAGCTTCTGTAAAGCTGTTTGACTTGCCTGGTGTCTGAAGGGTGATTGAAAAACGTATTTTTGTCACTAATATCTACTTTAATGTTTGTAAGCTGTGAACTCTGTAGTTGTTAGTGACTGTTAGCTTGAAGCATCCTGTTTAACTAAACTTACCCTCCTCTTTCTTCCGCAGCTAACTGCATTAGCTTCACTTTTTGTAAATGTTCCCCTCTCTGTTGGAGATTAAATCAGCCGAAACTGCTGGGGAAAGACTCTAAAAGAAAGAAACAAAGATCACAAATAACTCACCATCCAGAGACTCCGTCCTGACTTCTTCTTCTTCTTCGTCTGTTGCTGAATCCACTTCACCGTTGCTAAGCAGTCACCATGGCAGTCACACAGAGCGCGCCGCCACAGAACACTGGAGCAGGTCAGGGGTGAGGCGTCGAGGGGGATTTGTACCCTACGCGACGACTGCCAGGCGAACTACACGCCTCGCCCTTCTCGGCCAGATCGTCAATGTCCTTTTAACCACCTTCAATCAATAGCCCGTTGTTAATATGATTGATAATAAATGCCATAATGTTAATATGATAACATAAAAGATTAGGTTGTCTAAAAATCATTCGTTTCCATTGGTCTAAGGGCCACATCAGTGCTGCCTGACAGACCGTAATCAGGAAGAATGACCACATCTTGACTTGTGATGCATTCACGAAACATGTGAAACAGCGATACTGTTTTATGTTCATTGTACATTTGGTACGGAAGAGGATTAGGGCCAGGCATGAGAAATAAATAGTGAGAGGAGGAAGATTTTTATTCACTATGCATTTTGAGAACAAAGTAGAAATGTCGAAATTAAACCAAAAAGTCATGAAAAAGTCAAAATGTAGAGAAAAATTTGTGTAGTTATCATATATTTTTGTACTGTTGTTTCTGGCCAGTTTGGCTTTTTTATTTTATTTTGTCACAAACAGTTTAAATACCTTATTAACGTAAAAAATAAAGCAAGATTGTTTCTTGTTTTCAGCAAATATTTCTACAATGTTCAATATTGTACGTGTGTGATGGATCAATCTTTGGTACAATCCAATTTAATATTTTTTTAAAACAACTTTATAAAAACAACAACTACTTAAATATAATAATGCAAACTAAAATATTTTTGATTGATCGATTTGATTGGTGTAGGATATTGTAATTTTCTCTTGCTCAAGCCTTTTTCTCACGTGGAAAAAGATGTAAGTCAGGTATGAATATATAATTAAATACCCTTTTCTTAGGTAATTAAGTCAGAAAAGAAAAGTTTTTTTACGCTCAAATCTCGTGGTTTTTGTATCTTTGAAAATATTTGTAAATCACGATGTACATTGAACGCGACACGGCGTTGTTCCGGAAGATGACATCGGGAGAAGGTGTGTTTCCGGAAGACGTGGCTGTTGCTGCAGTGGCAGCTGTCATCCAGATTTCCCTGAGAGGAGTGTTTGAATAGTTATATTTATATTTTCTTTATTTATATTTAATTTAACGACTTTATTTGGCGCCAAGATGATTTCGCTAACGGACTCCCAGAGTAAGATTTCACTGTTTTTATCGCCTCTGAATGTTGTCTCTATCCTTTCTATAACACCGGTGTTATGTCGAGAAATGCATCCCTGCCGAGTAGTGCATGCACCTCACGGAAGTGTTAGAAAACTGTGTAAATGTTATTCCTGGGTGTAGATCTGTGATGATAAAGTAAGTGAAGTTTATACTTCATAAACGTGAAGTGTCCATATTGTTCTGTAGACTCGGTAGAAGACGCATTTTCATTAACTTGTGTAAATATGACCAGCATACAGTGTTTGACTCTTCAGTGTCTGTAGAGTAAATTTAAGGTTGGGTGCAAAATATGGCAGTGTATTTTTTAAGAGGGAATCAAAAATGTAGTAGTGTAGAAATTGTGTCTACTATATTTTTGCATTGTCCTGCGAGGTGAGTGCAATTCTCGGCAGGGATGCATTTCCTGACATAACACCGGCTCCATCTGAGCTAACGAGCTGTTAGCCTCCAGTGCTAGGAGAGTTAGATTTATGATTTGTCTCGTCGCCTGCATTAAACTCTGGTCCTGACAGCTACCAGCTAACTCTCAGTGACTCTCCTTTAAAAAGAAAGTATCTGAACATCATGTTGAACCTGTAATGATTATTATCTCTAAATAGCTATCTACTGTTTACACGTTTCAGGGCTGAGTTTCTGTCTCTGTTTCCTGATTAAAAAAAAATGTTAACTATATTAAAAACAGTGAACTATAAATAATCAAGTCTTTGTAGCTCCTCCAGACTCAACTGTCTGTCTGGTATCAGACCTCTACACACCGTTTACAACACATCGTGTGTGTGTGTGTGTGTGTGTGTGTGTGTGTGTGTGTGTGTGTGTGTGTGTGTGTGTGTGTGTGTGTGTGTGTGTGTGTGTGTGTGTGTGTGTGTGTGTGTGTGTGTGTGTGTGTGTGTGTGTGTGTGTGTGTGTGTGTACACTGACTGAGATATTTGAGGTTGATTTCTCAACTCTGAGTCTGTCTGTGTTTGTGATGATCTTTATTTGGTGTTGTGTGTTTCTTATCTTCTGTTATGTCCTTTTTTAAATTCTTCTTCTTGCTGTAAAACTTTTTGCTACAAACAGTGTTTGTTTTTAAAAGCGCTGTGATACATAAGGTCGACTTCTTTGTCGAGCTGTTTTGTTAAAAGTGGCTTCACATAAAGTCAAATCTTTCATTGTTGTCATTTTGTTTATGAATGCATATATAATTATTGACCCTCTCTCTCTCTGTCTCTCTGTCTCTCTCTGTGTGTGTGTGTGTGTGTGTCTTCTGCAGAGATTGGAATGGGACTAACAGGCTTCGGCGTGTTTTTCCTCTTTTTCGGGATGATCCTGTTCTTCGATAAAGCCCTCCTGGCTATTGGAAATGTGAGTTTTTTTCTGATCATTACTTTTTAGACTTGACTGAGAGAAAGCAGGACTTCGATTTTCTGGGATGCTGAGAAAAAGTGCAGCTGCTACTTATTACTCCATATTCGCTCGTAGCAACACTGTTATGTAGTTGAGTTTGATTAAACTTTGACACCTAGTGTTTAAAATGGGTACTGCAGTCCAAATTCTAAACATTGTAGAGCTGTCTCCCCCCCTCCTCTCTAGAGTCGATGCTCACGCAGGTTGCCATGTGGTGGACACTGAAGCTTCAGTGTTTATCCAGCTCTGCATCAGTCTGTAAACCTTTCTGCGTTCTCTTCATTTTTCAAAAAACATCTCCAATATTGATCCTAGTTTGAGCACGTTTCTGCTCGTGGCGCTTATTAGAAACATGCAGAGGCTTTTTAGGTCGGGTACAATCAGTTCTATCTGAACCACTTCTCTTGCTGTCCTGCTACTCTGACTGGCTGAAACGAGAGCTGAAACAGACTCATCGTGTTGGATAAAGGTGAAGCTGTTTGTGTGTTACTGCAGTATGATAAAGAACCAATCACAGGACTCCTCTCTGATATTTCACGCCGTAGATCCTGTTTGTTGCCGGACTCGCCTTCGTCATCGGATTGGAGAGGACGTTCCGCTTCTTCTTCCAGAAGCACAAAATGAAGGCCACAGGTTTCTTCCTGGGCGGCGTGTTTGTGGTGCTGATTGGCTGGCCCATCATCGGAGTCGTGCTGGAGGTCTACGGCTTCTTCCTCTTGTTCAGGTGAGACGTCAGGGCGCACGCACACTCAGCAATCTATAAAACACGATCGACCCCTGAAGTCCAGTTCGTTTGACCAGTGTGAGCTCTCCATACACTTCCTCGGCGCTGGCTTCTGCACGGTACAGTTCCCGCACGAGCTGCTTCAGCACCGTGCGGGAAAACTTTGCTCGTGTGAGTGAGCCCTGATATGTAGCAGCATGCAGTTAAAGTCAGTGATACAGATCAAACAGCCTCTCTAATGATGGTTAATCAACATGATCACCCGGCTGATGTGTAAGCCTCAAACCGCTCCCTACACACGAGGAGGTTTCCGCCATATTGAGCGCCGTGCAGAACCTCCGAGGGTGGAGCGAGGGCGGGGTTGATGGTTAAACCCTCCAACAGCGACTCTGTCTTATTGAACAGGTGTAACACCGTTTACTGTTCGTCCTGGGAGACACTCTGAGAGTACATGAAGGTTCTGTGTTATCCCTCGCACAAACGTAAACGCCTTTAAGTAAGATAGAAACAGTCGTACAGACGCTCACATCAAAAAGTTTACTTGTTTTTTTTTAAGATTTATTTTTGGGAATTTTGTGCCTTTTATTAGAGAGATAGGACAGTGAATATAGTCAGAAATCAGGGAGAGAGAGAGAGTGGGGAATGACGTGCAGGAAAGGAGCCACAGGTCGGATTCGAACCCGGGCCGCTCTACAGGACTACAGCCTCCATACATGGAGCGAGCGTCCTAACCACTGTGCCACCAGCGCCCCAGAGAGTTCACATTTTTAATCAGGAGCTCATTAATGACTGTGTGGTCTTAAAAACAGCTTGTGTGTTTATTTCATTGTGATGTGACTAACCATTCTCTCTCTCTCTCTTTCTCTCTCTCTCTCTCTCGCTCTCTCTCTCGCTCTCTCTCTCTCTCTCTCTCTCTCTCTCTCTCTCTCTCTCTCTCTCTCTCTCTCTCTCTCCCGTCTTCGTGCAGGGGGTTCTTCCCCGTCATAGTGGGCTTCATCAGGAGAATACCCGTGCTGGGCTCCATCCTCAACCTTCCCTTCATCAGTGCAGTAAGTATAACGGAGCGCGGCGTCTGTGTTCGGCTTCGTTTACTCGCAGCATGGCTCCTTTTCCTGTCTACGATCAAACAACACGCCAGGAGAACAACACAGACGTGCTGATCGGACGTCAGACGAGCGCTCAGCGTCTTCACAGTTTTGATTGAAATGAGGCGTCACAAAGATTGATAGAAACGTTGGAATGTAACTTCAGGCTCAAATGAGTTAACATCTCAGAACTTCCAAGCTGTAACTACTCGCAGTTAGCTGTGTGGCTAACGCTAACGAGCATGCTGCGTCCATGCTGTGGTGTGAGGAGTTGTTGTGTTGAGGTGAATGTCTCTCTGTCTTTGTGTTTTTATTGAAGCCGTCGTAAAGCTCTGAGGACAATCAGCAGTCGTGGTCAGTCACTGCCGATTTTCCCCCCTGCATGCTAACATGTTTAACACGCTTTAAGATATTCATAACACGAGTGAGCATTTTTTTAACGTGTGTAAGACGGCTTTGTTCCCCCCCCCCCCCTTTTCTTTTTTTTTTTTTTTAACAACATTTAACGTCATGTCTTTATTTAGATTTAAAGGAACACACGTCAGGAAGAGGAAAGAGATTCATGAACTGGTGATTCTGAAAGTTCAAAAGAAAGCCCAAGACGCATCAGCTGACCGTTTTAGCTGTAGTTTGGAGTTCGGAGCCCTGAGGTCCAAAAAAAAAACACACCTGCACTTACTGCTCGTCACCAGAGGGGTCGCCAAAGAGAACCAAAACTTAGATCGATCCACTTTAACTCAAGCACAACTTCCAAGAACGTCCATAACCCTCAAAGATGAAGCATTTAAGAAATTTCAAATTAAGTTATAAAAACTCCTCAATCTTATTTTGGATCGATAAGTTTGAAGAGAAATTCCATCATTATACGTGAAAACACCAACATAGGCACCAGATATTCACTTCTCTCCCAGAGTCTGACTGATTGATTTAATCTTCAGAATTGAAACACATTTGTTCTTAAAGACTTAAAATGCAGATTGGAGACCTTTTGGATGAAATAAAGTCGACTAATCGACAGAATGACATCGATCACTCGTGTTCGTCCTGTGGCCCCGTCGTGTGTTCCTTTGAGTCCTGCACGCTCTCCATCACTAACGGCTTCGATAAAAGGGCGGTCCGTCCCGTCATCGCTTGAATTCACACTAACAGCATGTCATCAACACTCCTCATGTCCGCGTCTGATATCAAAATGTTAAAAATAACGATATGATTGCTAACGTGACCTCCGTCTTCTCTTTCAGTACGTGGACAAAGCGGGCGAGAGCAACACGATGGTATAACAGAGACTTTTTGTACGCGGAGCAGCAGGTTTTATAAAACAACACGACGCCCCTTCAGCTGATTTAAAGGAGCCGCCCCTCCCCCGCCCGCCCCTCCTGCAGGTAGAGACTGCTTCCTGTCTCGTCTGTAATTTCACCGCCACCAATCAAAGGTTCATCAGAGCGTCGCAGCACCCGTCTGTTACGATGGAGGACGGAGACCCCATCAGAGCGCCAATCGACTCGCCGCCTACGTGACGTTCTTCCTCTGTGGAACCGACGGAGGGAAACAAAGAGGATTAAAGGACTGGACCTGCGGCTTGCCATACCGTCACATCTCTGTGCCTGTGCTTGAACTTTATTTGCATTTTGTGTCTCTGCAGTAACTCTGTGACGCTTTATTTCTTTTTGTCCTGCAGCTATTTGAGGGCCGAGCGTGGCTAACGTGATGCTTTCCCTCTGTTACATGTCATTTCTTCACGGTGAAACGGCTCAGTGCTTCACTTCCTGTAAACTGAGGTCCATGTGACCGAACTGGAATCTGTTACTCCTGTTTGTGGTTTACGTCGGCGGCTGCACCTTAAAGTAGCTGACGCCTGGAGAGAAGCTAAGAAACTTGCTGTAGGGAGCAGAATGATGGTGCGTTCAATTTCACCTCGGAAGTCAGGATTCCAGACCGCTGGACGAGTACGTCATCAGGAAAGTCGGAATTCTCTGAGAACCTTCAGTTGTCCGAGCGAAAATCCAACATGGCTGCTGCGTGCATCTACAGTAACGTTAGGCTGTAACTATTTTTTTTTTTAGCGACTTAGGCTACGTGTTCACCTAACGTTTTTTTTCCTGAGCACCTTTTTCAATTGTTTTCAATCAGGAGCGAGTGTTCGCACAAACGCTTCAAGCAACGCTCCCAAGAACACAGCCAGCGCTTTACTGTCCGGAAAAAAAAACACCAGGTGGACACGGGGGCCTTAGTCAGTCCTGTGGACGTGTTGTCAAGTTATTTTCACGCTCAAGTCTTAGTTAGGTATTCGCTAACACAACAAAGGTACTCCTGGCGGCGTCCACGTTGGTCATCCGGCTTGTTTCCAACTCTTCACTGGAACGTGGTCAACTCGGGTGTGACGTCATTCCCAGCTCCTAGCTCCGAGGTAAATGGAACGCACCATAAAGCTAACAGGCAACAAGCATTAATACCACACTACAGCGCCACCTCTCAACAAGTGGCCACTTGGTGTATTGCAGCAAAAAAAGGAATTCCCCTGAATCCCAAAAAAAGCTTTTTCTCCTCTGACGTCTTTGAAATTTACGATTGCTTTTCAATACAACGGGTTTCAAGACAATATGACCTCTGCTCTCTTGAATGATGATTGAAGCCAAATGTACCGAAGCTTTAGAAAAGCTACGTCTGTTTCATAACACAGGCGTGTAGGAGAGAACTCTGCCAAACAGAAACGTAGCCAACGTATTTGTATGGTTCAGGCCGTGTGTTCTCTGCAGTATTTTTGTTGCTGCGGTATCAGAATAGATAAAGATATGGTTAAAGCCTGGCGGTTGGGGTGTGCGCCCTGCGTACAGAGGCTGTGGTCCTCTTGGCAGCAGCCGTGGGTTCGAGTCCGGCCTCGGCCCCTACGGCTGCACACCGTCGCCTGCTCTCTCCTCCCAATGTTACCCGTCTCACTTCAACTATCGAAGCAGAAATAGCCCAAAATACTAACGTTTAGAAAATAAGGTATGGTTTGATTTTTACTAGCATTGTATGAAGGTTTCAAATTCTTGTGTTGCAACGACCTTCGCTGACCTTTATAACGGAGGAGAGGGACGACTCTCACTGTTACTATTTTTGGATTTATAGAAGTTTAATTGTTGTGAAACGTTACTCGCGTCAAGAAAAGTGAAGATTTCAGACGTCATTTCACGTTTTAACAGTCAGCTAACTGTTTTAGTTTAAGGAGTTGAGCAGCGTTATGAGACGTGTAGCTCAGAAACCTCCTGATTGATTTGATACTGGCGCAATAAAATCCCTAATTTCCGCCTCTGCCTGAAACGCTTCATTTCAGCTGCTGTCTCTTTAAGGCCCCGCCTCCTTAGTGCCCACTCTTCTTCTGTTTGCAGTCACAGGGAATTTTGAGCGAGCTTCCTGGTGGGCGTGTCCTTGAAAGCGCTGCCCGGGTGGGCGTGTCCTACAACTTTGCTCCATGCTTTGCTCTGATAGTCGGCAGAACCTTCGGGTGGCAACGTCTCGTTCAGAGCAGCTGGTTTAGTACGGACATCCAACATCATAACATTATATATTTAAAGATGAAATGAATAAACAGACTCTTCTTGAACCGGAGGACGAACACTCCTCAACACTAACTGGGAAGCAGCTTCTCTTCTTTCTTTCTCCCTCTTCGAGCTTCTCCTCTCTGTCTGCATTCATCCAGTGTCCTTAAACATCTGTTCAGCTTTAAATCTTCAGATTTGTCTTTATGTTTCTCCAGCTGTGGGTGTTTTCTGTTGCTCTGCTCGGAGCATCCAGAAACTGACGTTACCTGTGAAATGATGACGTGTGTTTTTTCTTGTACGGCACTTTTGTAAATATACTTTGGAATCAAGCTTTGTATCTGCACTCCTCGATGTGTCTGCTTCTTTATTCCTCGCCTGTCTTTGACTCGAAATCACATTTTCCGCTTCCAGATATTAGATTATATATTTATTTATATATAGATATGATAACCTTCAGGCCAGGAGCACGTCCATCGAGATCATGGACCATGGACCCTGGACATGGGGCACGCGTCATAACAGTGAGGCTATCGACGCTCCCTTGTAGCGTTTTTGTAAGCAGATATGGGATTTTGACTTGAGATGATTTAATTTACTCGTCTCTCCTGACTGAAGTAAAGAATTTAGGAATTATCGTTCATAACTTTGAAATACGTAAGTGAGTGTTGAAGTCAAAACCAAATTAACCGAGACCAAGACCTACCCGAGACCAGAGTGCACCGAGACCGAGACAAGACCAAGACCATAAATATCACCGAAAGAATCTTCATCTTGTGTGCAGGGGGCGTGTCCCTCACTTAGACCGTAACACCGGGAAGGTTGCGGTCATAACCGGGGAAAAAAAATCAAACTACAAATGATTTGAGACCTTTTTTCCTAATTAGAGTAATGACTTGGAAATATAGCCGATCAGTGATGGTCATGACAGGCCCGAGTAAACATGCTTTCAATTCTGAGACGAGAGGAAAAAGTGACCGATCTAGAGACCAAGACTGATTTCGAGTTCTACAACTCTTAAAAAAAAGGAATCTGTGTCAAATAAAGAAACAAAATGTTTACTACTAATAAATACGACTATTTATAACATAATGTTGAAGAAAGCTGGTTGTAGCACCCCCCCTGGATTTTTGTCTAGGGCCCCTAAAGACATTAGATCCGGCACTGATAACTTTGGTTCAGGAACAGGACCAGTGACCTCAGTATGTCTGATAATCCTCCATCAGCCTCCCTCACAGTCTGCAGCTGCTCTGTTGTAATGATTTCCCTGCAGCTCCATTCATTATTCGAAGTGTGGCCTTTTGATTCATAAAATCCAGCTTTCATCTCTCCGCGTTCTGCTCCACTAAGCACGGTGCAAACATATCAATAACCCCACGGGGGGGGGGTTGGGACCACATTTCACCCGCGCGGCCTGCAGCTCCATTATGAGTCATTAAACTCCACCACGGAGCAGAGCGCGCGCGTATGGCAGCTGTTTTAATTCAGAAATATTTACAGTTCACTCTGCTGCTCAGTGGATGGAGCAGGATCGATCCGTGACTCCGTTCATTCACATTTTTTCCAACTCGCCTCCGATTCATTAAATTGGCGTGACCTATGGCTGCAGGAGCGCGCGCGCCCATAGGGACCCCCGCCCCGGAGGATATAAATGCAGGAGGAGGGATCACAGCCGGAATGTTTTCACTGCCTCATCCTCCCTGCAGGACACCAAAGTCTCAGCCTCTCTGACAACATGAAGGTAAGAACAAGGCGCGGAAAGTTTTGGGTTCCGGGTGCGAAAATCTTCGGACTAAAACGGTTTGATTCTCTGTTACCTAGGTTTGCTCTTCTTTTTTTATTTTCCATACATTTAATATAATTAAATATGAATAATATATATAATATTAATATAATATTCAATATAGAATAGGAAACTGTCGAAAGTATGAAAGAAAATGCGATTATAAATGAAAACAACTAAACTAAATCACATTTTTGCCACTTTTTCAAAGTGCATCTTTTTCCTGGCTTTACCCAGAATCCACTTGCTGATAAAACATGTATTTCCTAATCATGGTTAATCTCTTCTGCATGTAAAATATTAATAAACTTTGCATAGAAGTTACGAGGGTTCACAAGGAATCTAAGATTCAGTGTAAAGCGTCACGAGGCGCACACCCTGCGCGTAATTACGCACGGAAACTTTCTCGGAGTCTTTCTCTAAAAAATAATGCTACAAGATTAAAAGTTGTGAATTAAAAAAGTTTGTATTTTGCTCTCACAGGGTTTGAGGACGATCACAATCACTTATGTACTCACCCTTTTGCTGCTGGCCTCGTTTATCTCTCAGTCGTGGAGCGCACCGAAGGTACATCGGATTGGTTTGGTTCTCTGTTCGTCTTTAACTCTGAAGTTTTCCCTCAATGCCTTTGTGTCAGTTTAAATAAAAGAAGCTGCTTTTTTTTTTTTTTTTTATAACTTCCTTTGTTTCTTTACTTCAGAGTTCTTTCCAGCGGAGGAACTGGACCCCTCAGGCGATGCTCTACCTGAAGGGCACTCGTAAGTACTCACCTGACTCACCTGCTCATCGTCTCTCTGCGCAAAAAGGTAGAGAAAGTGTTTAGATTAACAGAGAAAGAAACACATTTTGAATAAAATACTGCATGCATGAGAGGAGGCAGTCTTTGTGAAATCAGGCAGAGTTCAAATCAACCTTCAGATGAAACATTAAAATCTTAAAGTACTGTGCATGCTGCAGATTTAATTAATCATGTTTTTATTGTCTTTTAAGTTGAGCTACCTTTGGATCTCCATGTTGTTCAAACTACAAAAAGAAACTTAATTTATTTAGCTGTGAAAAAAACAACTGCACATTCTGTTATTAATATTTATTACCACTTTGTGCTTTTCCAGCCGCCTAGAATCTCTTAGGCCGTGATGATTTTATGTTTCTCACAGTTTAAGAAGCTTCCTCCTAAAGTCTTGTTGAAAAAAGAAACAGATGAAGTTCTGCTTTCTGAAATGTTTGTTGACTAAATGTCGCTCTCAGGTGTTTAAAGACATTTCAGGAAACACAAACTCCCCTCAAAGAGACCTGTGATTTTCTGTTCTGTCTTCTTCCAGAGGGGCGCAGGTTCATCTCAGAGGACAGAAAGGAAGGCGACGTCTACGACACGTTACACTTAGGTACAACAAACATTTCAAAACAAGTTCATTTGCATATTTTAAGAAGTACTGTTCGTCTTCTTTTGTTTTGAAAAAGAATGGAAGATTTACAGAACAGTTTTTAAGGAAGAGACAAAATTAAAAAAAAAACATGATTTGTGTTCCATGCTTAAGTTCTCTGTCAGAAAAGTCATTTTGAGTTTGCCGTTTGTTGCCCACAGGAGACGATCTTTGTTAGGTGTGTTTATTTAATCTGTTCTTAAACTGTAATATGCATTCTTCCATGTTTGATTTCTGTCCCACGAGAAGGAAAAATCTTCCTCCTATCAGGGAGAGAAACACTTAAGAAATGATCCTATGTGTTCGGTCATTGCTCCTTGTCAGAGATGATCTGTGTGGGGGTTTTGTTGGGACGGCTGTGGCTCAGTCAGTCCTCGCTCAACCGGAAAGTCAGGGGTTCGATCCCCAGCTCCTGCAGCTACAAGTCCGATGTGTCCTTGAGCAAAACACTTAACCCAAAGTTGCTCCCTCTGCTTGGTCGGCAGCATGTGAATGGATGAGTTAATACTGATGGACTCTTTACCCAGCAGCCAGTGTGTGAATGTGTCAGTGTGACCTGCGGTGTAAAAGAGCTTTGAGGAGTCAGAAGACTAGAAAAGTTCAAGTCCATTAATCATTTTATTAACTGCAGAAATAATTGATTTGATGTCTGTCGTTGGCGACCTGTGTTTGTTTAGTTTTTACCTGCAGAGATCGTCTGTGTGTTTACTGTTTGTCAAAGATAAACTGTTCTTTATAACGCGTGTGTTTTTGTCTCTATTAGAGACACGCAGTCAGAACACGGAGAAGCTGAGTGTGGATCAGGCAGCCACTGTCCTGCTCAACTTCCTGCAGCAGGCCAAAGAGGGAGGTGAGGACCACGCCTGCACCTTCCTACCTTTATTTATTCATTATTAATATGAAATTAAGTGCTGAGAAACATTATCATTACAGCTGCTGAGGTTGGAATTCAGAAAATCAGGCGGAGCTAAAGAAACTCTGGAGAAGCACAGATGGGGTTTCTTCACCAACCATCAGGGTGCATGAAGAGAGAAAGGTTTCAGCAAAAAGCTGCAGCAGCACTTGTAGTACGAAGATCAATTTTATTAACTGTTTTAAGACCAAGACGTTTCGGCTTCTGGCGTTCCTCAGGGTCATGAGGCCGCAAGCTGAAACGTCTCGGGTCTAATAAAGGAGATAATGAAGCTAAAAAAGGAAAAGAGCGTTTCTGTTTTACTAAGATACATGGTTAAATTTTAATCACATTTATGATTTATTTAAGGAAGGTTTGATCGTCATGCATCCAGGGGCGTGGCCAGGGTCATCCTAGAAATCTGATTAGCATTCCCAAAATCCTGAACTATAATTGGCTGTTTGACTTTTGTTCAAATCGACTTTTGTCTGTGCTACATCAGGCTGCTGGAAGCTTCCTTAGCATTTTAGTATAGCTCATTTCATTCGGTTAGTATTATAAATCAGAGATGCAGCGACCGGGACAATCAGGGCCGATAGTCGATACCGATGTTTACAACATTTTCTCTCATGTTTGACGATGAAAATAAGTCAGAGTTTGTCCAGCAGGTGACTTCATCAGCCCGATAAAAACTACTCCTCTCTGAATCAGTAGTTAGGTGTGCTAGATGTCAGCATTAAATTGATTTGGCACAACAGATAAACATCGGCTACAGACATAGGTTCATGCAACATTATTTGCAGATGTGCCGATGTCTGTCAACACAGCCGATATCAGTCGATATCGATGTTGACCTGATACATCATTAGTTTAAATAGTGACTCTGGACATAGGAAGATGTTTTCAGTGGGTCATTTGCAGAATTAATTTGAAATGTTATGTTCCCTTAACACGTCTGGTCTGTGTATGACTCAAGACTTTCCTTTCCTTGTGTAGGCGATGAAAACCCAGACGAGGTGTATTTCCAAGAACTGCCAGTGTGGAAGAGAGAATATTTCTGATTGTCTTTCGTACGTTTGTGAAGCTGTCGGACGGACTGGGTGTAAATATGGAATCTCTGAAAATGTTTAAGATGTGATGTTTTAATAAAAAGTTTGAATTCATAACACAATTGATCTTCATTTATTATGACTTTTTATCTTTCCCTGAAAACAGTAGACTTGTATTATTGATAATGCATTTATTGAAAAGCATAAGTAAAATGTTGGAGGAGGTTGGGGTGAACTTTCTTTAAAGGACTGCAGCTACTTAAAGGTCACATATCCTCCTCCTCTTCAACCAGGTTAAATGAGTCTCAGAGCTCCTCAAAACACGTGTGTGAAGTTTCTTGTTCTAAATCCACTCTGATCCTGTATTTGATCACGACTATAAACCCCTCTATTTCAGCCCTGCTCAGAACAGGTTGTTTCTGTGTCTGTACCTGTAAATATGTAAATGAGCTGTGTCTGACCATGCCCCCTCTCTGGAAGGGCTTGGGTGTCTCTGGCTTTCTCGCTCCATGTCCTATTGTTTACGGTGAGAAGGCAGACTCAGAGGGCAGAACAAACACCTAGCTGTGGGAGTGTCACCCACCTGGGGGAGGGGTTACTGCCTTTTGTGATGTCATAAAGGGAAAATCTCCAAACGGCCTTTTTGAGCACACAATTTTCTGAAAAGTGGAGCAGGCAGAAGACGGAGAGGATGGACTTTTCTCATCATTGTGGGGTTTGTAGACAGACTAGGGACACATATTAGAGTTAGAGAAACATGGTGAAACTTTAACTGAGTGGGAGAGATACTTAAATCACATAACTTCCACCACCGTTACATTATGGGGTAAAACTCAGTAGAGCAGCTGACAGAGTCAATATTTGACTTCTGAAATCCTGAACTTCAAACAAGGGGAAGCTGCTCGTGTTCACATCACAGCCACATGTTAATGTCCAAAAGGAAAACCTGAACTCTCAAACAAACATGAAGCGCTCAAATCTAGCAGTGAAGATGAATAGTGTGTAAAATAGTCTCACGATGAAAACAACAGTGGGCCAAGAACAGAGCCCGACTTCAGAACAGGAGCCTTCGTTTTGTGACTGACGCTTTTTAATTATCTCACAAATCATCAAACTTTGAAGAAACTTTTAGTGTAACAGAAGTGAAAATGCAAAGACTTGGAGCAGTACAGGACGCTGATTTCATTACAGTGAGGATGTGATCACACCATTTCAGTTTCCCGGCACGGCACCCAGCACGAACGGAGACTTGATGTTCAGCCTGTCCCTCTCAGCCTCCTCGTCTTCATCGTACGGCTCATCGTCGTCGTCCTCCGCGTCGCTGTGGTGGGGGGTCGAATGGACGGAGGCGGAGGGTGACGGGGGCACCGAGTACGGGCGAGGGTAACGGAAACCATCGCTCTGAGGAGACAGAGATGATTGTTAATAAAGCTGCTTCGGCTTTTTTTTTTTTAAATTCTGTTTATTTCTAATAAAACCACCTGAGAACAATTTAACCTCATGGTGCGTTCAGGTGCTGATAAGAAATGGGACAAGAGAGTTCAGACTTACCCTTCCCGCTCAAAAAACACATTTTCTCTTCATCAGCCCTCTAGCCTTTATCTGTCGTCTTTCTCCCCTCTTCCTCTTTCCTCCTTTGTGTGATTTTTCTTTCCCTGCAATCGTTTATTTCAACCCCTCTTTTTCCTTTCTCCTCCCTAACCATCACCTTCCATCTTCTCTGTGTCTGCTTTCTCTTCATCTTCCCATTTCACTTCCTCCATATCCACCACCTGTTTCTTCCCGTTCCTTTTCCTAATTCCTCCTTTCCTTCCTTCTCTGGGGTTTCATGTTCCACGGCGTTACGTGGCTCTGCACTCCACCATGACGGTCTGTCAATCATCTAAATGTTAGCCCGTCAATTAAAGCCTCACAGCCCGTGCGGGTAAAATCCTGCAGCCTCCTTCATGTGTCGGACATGAGTAGGGTTCACATGTTCATGTGTGTGACGCTTTCAGAGAGCGAACCACTGAAGAGGACAGACGTTGGTGATTTTCTGAATGATACAAACGTGTTTCACAGTAAACACCTGCTCTGGGTGATTCATTTTTTCCTCCTACATTGGCCCGAGAATGTGAAACTTCAGACTCGTGACTCCTCATGTCATCACAGTGTTCCTCACCTTCAGAGGCGCCATGGGGTCCATCTTGAACTTGTCTGGGAAAGCTCTGCTCAGCGTCAGATGACGAGCGTTTATGTAGAACTGCAAAAACAACAAAACGGTAAATCAGTTTATGAACAACACGTGTGAGAAAATCTTACAGAGTTCAAAACACAAAGAGCATCATGACAGTGGGAGAACTCTCTTTTAAACGTGGCGTGCACTCAATTTGTAGCAAGTTTTCTAAGTTTAAGACCTAGAATAAATCTCAGCTATGGTTGTGAATGTACATTTTTTTTCCCAAAGACAGCCTGTTAGAGATCATTCTGCTGTCACACATCAGTCTGTTCTGGTGCTGCAGAAACACACCCGTCCCAGGTATCTCCAGTCCAGCAGCTCAGAAAGCCTCTCGGTTCGGTTCCTCTGGATGATCCGCTGACGGCGCGACTGCTGACAGAAACTGAACATGAACTGAGTCAGCTGGTTACACGAGTCGTCCGCTGAACGGAACCGCCGGTCCACAATGTAAATACCTGAGGGGGAGGTGGAGAGAGTGGAGGAGAGAGCACAGTCAGACTCTGAGGACTAACGCAGCTCCTGAAAACACGTCTGTGTGTGTGTGTGTGTGTGTGTGTGTGTGTGTGTGTGTGTGTGTGTGTGTGTGTGTGTGTGTGTGTGTGTGTGTGTGTGTGTGTGTGTGTGTGTGTGTGTGTGTGTGTGTGCGTACCATACGCAGCAGGGTCTGAGACGTGCTCCTCCATGAAGCAGCCGAAACCGGACAGGTTGGTGGTCACACTGGGGATCCCCATCACAGTACATTCACCTGGAGAGGTACATTCAAATACAACGATGTTGCTGCCGTGTGTTTGAAACACTTGACAAAAGTTGCTCTCAAACACCCCCCCCCCTCCCCCTCCTGTCTAACAGGGATAGTCTCCCGCTGTCAGGTGCATGTGTGAACAACCAGATCAGTAGGATTTCAGGGGCAGTCCTCCTGAAATGCTCGATAAACTTTCAGCAGTGCATGTGTGGGAACGTCCCATGTGTCAGAAGGTTACCGGGTGTGTATCCCCAGGGCTCGTAGTAGGACGGGAACACGCCGAGGTTACAGCCACGGACAAAGTCCTCGTAGTCCATGGGCAGCAGAGGACTGGTGGAGGACAGGAACTCAGGGTGGAAGATGATCTGACACGAGGACAGACGTTAAACATGAGTAAGTCAGCACCAGTTACGTACAGATATCCACATTCAACCATCTCGTTTACCTTGACGCGGTCGTTCCTGGAGTTGAAGAGGCCGATGCGTCTGACGTTGGACAGGATGGGGTCTGTGGCGTCGTCCAGCATGTTGTGAGTGGTCACTGGAGGGAGGCTGTGTCTCTGAGAGGAGACAGGTTAGTCAGTAAATGGACAAAATAAAAGACTCCAGGGATGATCCGCATACGAGTCGTTCAGGTAACATGTGTAACTATAGATTAACGAGTCGTTGCTTTCATGCTGATTTGAAGAAATCCATTTACCTTCCAGGGAAAATAATTTCCATAATGGTCCAATCAATACGTTTATTGTTTCAGGATTAAAGATTGAAACATGTACGACAATCAGACACACACACACACACACACACACACACACAGCGGTGCTCGGCAGTTAACCTTTCAGGCTGTGATTCAGAGCAGTATTGATCAGCAGAGGCATTAGCTAAACACGGCGCTAACGATATCCGATTACCGACTTCTCTGAAAGGAGACAATAAACCTGAGGCACAACTCTACAACCTGTTTAGCTTTTGCACCACAGGTAAAAACCAAACCTGCAAAGAGCTCTGCATCGGTCTGTAAACCTTTCTGCGTTCTAACCTCTCTCCATTTTTCAAAAAGCATCTCCAATATTGATCCTAGTTTGAGCACGTTTCTGCTCATGGAGCTTATTAGAAACATGCAGAGGCTTTTTAGGTCGGGTACAATCACTTCTATCTGAACCACTTCTCTTGCCCGCTTCCATCGCTGCAACACCTGTTGACCTGATAACTGCTCTCATATCTGGCAAACCGAGGGGCGTCCAAAACGGGCCGTGTGGGGGTGCCTTAAAACCGTCTACCTTCTCTGGTCCAAACAAATCCAGAGCATTCAGGAGCAGAATCTAAAGTTAGAAGGAGGACATACTGGCTGCTGCATTGTTGTCAGAGAAGCCAGCACTTCAACATAGCATGTTTCCTTAATGTCTGATCATATTGTCAGGTCACTTTATCGTTTCACTCACTACACATCTCACTGATTGGACCTTTAATCTGTAAATAGGTGTCTTCTTTTTAAGTCGGGGACTGAGAGGAATCTTCAAACTGGACGTCTAACTTTGGCTGGTTTTTAAAGGATGGGGTTGTTGGGAGGGAAACGAGGAGGGCCAAACATGAAAAATAACAAAGAGAGAATTAATCTCGTTAATCACGTTTTTTTCCTCCAATCAGCAATCAGGTCGAGTCACCGATCGATCACTCTTCACACTCTTACAGTCAATACCGTTCACGCTCCGTTTCCCGGAGCATATTGACGTGGGCATAAATTCATGTAATTGAAAAGAAGACCTTTTTTATAAGCGCTGTGTTTGTGACACGGTGCTGTAACATAGATCACCTCCACATTGACGGCGCTCTATTGACCCGCGGGTCGGCCGACATGGCTGCTGCATGTTCATTCATACTTACCCTTGCAGGGGAATCCCCTCCATGTGCTGCAATAACTCGCTCATATTGATCCAGCAGAGTTAATGACTTCCCCCGCCCCCATTCATAAAAAAAACTGAGCCGAGGAGATGAGGGGGTCAAGATTTATCTCTACAGCTTTTTCAATGTTTCTCTCTGCGGATATTTTTAAACCTGCGTCTGTGAACTGATGAGCAGCAGCAATCTTTAAAGACACAGAGAGCCTCATTTAGAAGAGTTAATGCTTTCCTCAAGTAATTCCTGAAGTAGACGACAAGTTCG